AGCTGGGAACTGCGGGAACGCAGAGGTCTGGGGGTGCTCGTTTCACTTATCGGCTCATTTCCCTCTGCTTTTCGCCCTGTTTTCACCCGGAAAGCGCTATTTCGTCTGCAGCAGCCAGCGACACCCCTAAAATCCCGATTTCCTCCTGGGGAATCATGAGGAATCCAGCGAGCGGGAGGTGGAAGGCGCCAGAGCCCAAGCCCAGACGGAGCCAGGCGGGCGTCTGCGGCAGCCTCCCTTCCCGGCACCTGGAAAACACTTACGGAGGAGTAGGGAGGGCTGTATTCCCGGTACTTTCGGTGGCCCTTCTCAGCAGGGCTGAAGTCCGAGTCGTCGCTGTAGTCGGAGAAGTCGTCGCTGGAGGAGGCATGGCGCTGCAAGGCAGGGGAGCGCTGCCGGCCGGGAAACGTGCCGCGATTCCCATCCGCGCCGGGAAACGCGCCGCGATTCCCATCCGCGCCGGGAAACGCGCCCCGATTCCCGTCCGCGCCGGGAAACGCACCCCAATTCCCATCCGCGCTGGGAAATGCACCGCGATTCCCATCCGCGCCGGGGAACGCGCCGCGATTCCCATCCGCGCCGGGAAACGCGCCCCGATTCCCATCCGCGCCGGGAAACGCGTCCCGATTCCCATCCGCGCCGGGAAACGCGTCCCGATTCCCGTCCGCGCCGGGAAACGCGCCGCGATTCCCATCCGCACCGGGGAACGCGTCCCGATTCCCATCCGCGCCGGGAAACGCGCCGCGATTCCCATCCGCGCCGGGAAACGCGCCCCGATTCCCATCCGCGCCGGGAAACGCGCCCCGATTCCCGTCCGCGCCAGGAAACCCACCACGATTCCCATCCATGCCGGGAAACCCTCCATGATTCCCATCCACAACGGGAAACCCGCCATGATTCCCATCCGCACCGGGAAACCCTCCACGATTCCCATCCATGCCAGGAAACCCTCCATGATTCCCATCCACGACAGGAAGCCCTCCACGATTCCCATCCGTGCAGGGAAACCCTCCATGATTCCCATCTGTGCCAGGAAACCCTCCACGATTCCCATCCGTGCAGGGAAACCCTCCATGATTCCCATCCATGCCAGGAAACCCTCCACGATTCCCATCCGCACCGGGAATCCCTCCACGATTCCCATCCACGATGGGAAACCCTCCACGATTCCCATCTGTGCCAGGAATCCCTCCACGATTCCCATCCACGCCGGAAAACCCTCCACAATGGGAAACCCTCCACACTGGGAAACCCTCCAGGATTCCCATCTGTGCCAGGAAACCCTCCATGATTCCCATCCATGCCGGGAATCCCTCCATGATTCCCATCCACAACGGGAATCCCTCCACGATTCCCATCCGTGCCGGGAAACCCTCCGCGCCGGGAATCCCTCCACGATTCCCATCCGCGCCGGGAATCCCTCCACGATTCCCATCCGTGCCGGGAATCCCTCCACGATTCCCATCCGTGCCGGGAAACCCTCCACGATTCCCATCCACGCCGGGAATCCCTCCACGATTCCCATCCACGCCGGGAATCCCTCCACGATTCCCATCCACGCCGGAAAACCCTCCACAATGGGAAACCCTCCAAACTGGGAAACCCTCCAGGATTCCCATCTGTGCCAGGAAACCCTCCATGATTCCCATCCACGCCGGGAATCCCTCCACGATTCCCATCCGTGCCGGGAATCCCTCCACGATTCCCATCCGCGCCGGGAATCCCTCCACGATTCCCATCCGCGCCGGGAATCCCTCCACGATTCCCATCC